TACCGGACATGTGTATAAAAAACTCACATTTTCACCATTTAGTTTATAAGCTGAATACTGATTACTGACACAGTCGGCTCTTTCATTGAATTTAGTAACAGAATCATTGTTCCACCAAGGTCGTAAGTTACCATCTTTATCAAATTCACGTCCTGTAAATCAAACATACAACATTTCATACTGGTGCTGGATAATCTGGACAAACATACATTTCATACCCTGTGCTTGATAATCTGGACAATTTTTTTTGGCAGACATCTATAGATATCTATCACATGTACCTTAGTCATTATATTTTGAAGACTACTATTAAAAGAGAAATCGGGGACATTCCTTAATGAAGCAAGAGATGAGTTATATGAGAGTAGGTCATTTCGGGATTAACATATGGTACAATTCGTTTTCATTAAAGAACTTGTGCATTTGAGTCTTTAGCTATAGGAGGAAACCGGAGGACAGGCGACCCTACTCCTTGTCACATACAAATGTGGCTCAAAACCACACGACTTGACTCAGTGATAAACCTTATAATCTAAAGTGCATGTTAAACCGATCTGCCACCATCCCTAAAGGATGAGAGATAGAGAAAGAGAGAAATGGGGTTTAACGTCCACTCGACACAAACTAGTTCATTTCAGGACTAACATATGGATCAATTTTATTTCAATTTTCAATAGGGGGTATTTAGCAGTGGGAGGAAACCGGGGGACCCGGAGAAAACCCACAAGGTTGGACAGGCGACTCAACTCAGTTGACTCAATGACAGACCTTATGATACAGCACACACACGCTAATCATTCGGCCATTAAACCCCCAAAGATGAGAGATGTGACAATACACCTCTGTCACTAAAACAAACAATAACTACTCGTAGTGTTAGGTTTAACCTGTATCGCCCTTAAACAATTAATCTTTGCTATAAAATTTGAAATCAGCGTATCTAGGCTACACATAATTCTGGAATTAAAAGACATTCCATGTATTAAAGGTAAAGGGAAATAACTCTTCATTAAAAATAAGTTAGTAAAGGTTTATACAAATATTAGTAAATTTAACTACACAAATATATGAATGGTCTAAAACCATTTTGAAATCAAAGAATTATTGATATGATATGCTATTGTAATTTTAACAGTGCCTCGGAACACTTAAGAGATGGATGTCATGAAATGAAATGAAATAGGGTTTAACGTCCTACTGTTCTGTACCTACTGGGCTAATAAAAATGGCGTGTGTAATCCAGTGGGCTAGGAGGGAAATTTTGCCGACAGTTGCGCAACGGCCTACTCTTATATCAATGTCCAACTGTCAAGGGTCTATCTGTTAATTAAATGTAAGTTTGTTTGTTTACAGGTCTATTTTTCAATTAAAGGTAAGTCTATTGGTTAATCAAAGGTAAGTCTATTTGTTAATCAAAGGTAAGTCTATTTGTTTATTAAAGGTAAGTATATTTGTTAATTAAAGGTAAATCTATTTGTTGCTTAAAGGTAAATCTATTTGTTAATTAAAGGTAAGTCTATTTGTTAATTAAAGGTAAGAATATTTGTTAATTAAAGGTAGATCTGTTAATCTAAGGTATGTCTGTTAATTAAAAATAAGAAATAGAGTCTATGTAATAAACTTGTGAGATTAGACAAGTTGAATCGTTGTCATATAAGAGAAAATATTACGAGTAAAAAATCTTGAAATCTTGAAAATGGAAATTTTTACCATTAAGAAAAAAAATGACAATTTTTCAAATTTATGCTTTATTTCTTCTCTTAATATGACATCGATTCAGCTCCATGGTCTTAGGCTACTAAAATCAAAGATATTCAATTTTTTTTTCAAAGTAAAATTTTTTCTTTAAGTTCTTAGTAAGCAAAAGTGATAGTCTCTTCAAAGATCTAATCCAATTCAACGTTTATATGTCCCATCCAAACAACTAGACAATGTTCATTGCCAGGCACTCCGTCCTGCATCACGGACGAGGTCAAACCAGGATGGAAAATCCTTAGATACTTTCTCAGCTAACAATGGAATAGAATTCGGGATCTCAAGGTTAGTGAACCAGCGCCTGATTCGTGGTGTCACCTTGACTACCTGACTGATAGATCAAATTAAATGAATCAGCTTCTATTTCCAGATATTATTACGCTCACCATCTTTATTATTCTTTTGGGTACTTTCTAAAACAAAAGATTAATTTACCATCCACTCGACACAAACTAGGTCATTTTGGGACTAACATATGGTTCAATTTTATTTCAATAATATGCTTGTGCGTAGGGGTCTGTAGAAATGGGAAGAAACTGGAGGACCCGGAGAAAACCCATGAGGTTGGACAGGTGACCCTACTCGTTGTCACGTACAAGAGGGTAATGGAAACCATGCCACCTGACTCAATGACAGACCTTATGATACAGCGTACACGTGCCAACCATTCGGCAATCCAACCCCTTCTCTTTATATCTTTCTAAAACGCTAGATTCTTTGAAGAGACTATAACTTAAAGTTATCCCAATCACCTTGATCATCAAAACCGTGAGTCAGTTCATGACCCATAACCACACCCATAGCACCAAAATTCAGTGACCTGTTAAAATAGGCAAAAAAAAGCAATGAAGCAAAGCAAAAAGGATTAGAAATAAAAGCTGCCGATCATCATTGGCCTTTTTAGGACAATATCTAGATACATTGTGGGAGATTAGATAAAGAGCTGGTAGTTCTCACTATAATAGTTAAAAACCAGATAATGTAAAGGCAATTTGCTGAAAATTTCAGTCAAATTCATCCACCCTGAACCGAGTATTTAGCGATTGAATTTTGGGTCTAGCCTCGATCATCATTACTAAAGTCGAGTATTTAAAGGCTCAATGCATCATTTCCATTTTGGCTAGTATATCAAATTTCTCATGACTAAAAACATGTTAAATATGTACTCAGATTGATTATTTAAGATTTAATTAAGAAAACAAAATCAAGATACCAATGCTAGATTATTCGTAATAAAAGATGGCAGCATCTTGCTATGCTCGAATAGCAAATTTGTGTGACTTCAAGCATTCTTGAAGGAGGTAATTAATGCATCAAGAGGTTATAAGCTTTTAATATTTTAAGCATTAATATATACTCACTATCTATGGGTAACAATTACTATGGTTTATTACACTGTGATGTTTCAATAAGATTTCGCAAGTCATTAACAAGCATACAGAACATCAAAAATTAAATTTATGTGCTTGATAACAACTTGTTATACTAGTGTATTTAAGGCGATGTTTCGTAGAGTATTCTCTTAATGTTAGTGTAAGCCTTTGATCATGTTGTTGCTAAGTATGGCTTTGGTTATGTTGTTGTATTTTGTCTATATATATTTGCCTCATACCTGTTTTACTGTATTAGCTTGATAACGTTGAGAGAATACTCTACGAAACGTCGCCTTAAATACACTAGTAGCTGTTTTCCATAAGTATGTGTTTTGTTGTTACTCTACCCAGTTACTAAATGTCATTTAAAGAACAACTCGTTGAATGTCGTAGTGTAATAAATTTCTGTAATTGTTATCCATAAATAGTGTTTTAATTGACCAATAAAATATTGTAATTGTTATCAATAAATAGTGTTTTAATTTACCGATAAATCATAGTAATTGTTATCCATAAATAGTGTTTTGATTGATTGAGCCCCAATTAAATGCTATTCAAAGAAAGTTACTTACTTTGGGAATCTTTGATCATAATAAGGAGCTTGTAGTATTCCTGCTGGGAATACTATTTCATTTTTAGCAGGTGTGTAGTAAGCGTTAATAGTAGCTGGTGTCATGCTCCACCTATTAAAATTAATATCATATCATGGTAATAATGTCTATATATTATATCATGGTTATAATGTTTATATATCATGGTAATATTGTCTATAATAATGTCTATATATCATATGGTAATAATGTGTATAGATCATGGAAAGATAATAATGTGTATATATCATGGTAACAATGTCTATATACCATGGTTATAATGTTTATATATCATTGTAATAATGTCTACATATCATTGTAATAATGTCTATACATTACATCAATAATGTCAATGTGTTGTTTAAATTATTAAAGGACAATATTGGTGCCAGTCATTATCACAAAGTTGATAGAGCTGGTTAAACACATTCCAAATATAATTTTAACACAGAGATCATTGCTACGATAGCTGAGTAATACAGGTTTCCTGAATCGGAAGTGACAGTCTCACACAACAACTTTTGGTCTTGGAAGGAATCATTAGTGAGCAGAAATTCAGTCAGTTATATAGAGGGATGCCTAATGTTTTCCTTTGGCGTTCGTCACTTCCTATTCAGGAAACCTGTATTACTCAGCTATCGTAGCAATGATCTCTGTGTTAAAATTATGTTTGGAACGTGTTTAATTAGTTCTATCACATATGTGATAATGACTGACACCAATATTGTCCTTTAAATAAAAGCTTGGAAGCTGTAACCATTCACAATTGCTTTGCACATAAAGAAATTTAAATTATGCTCCAAATGAAATATAACATTGTCAGTGATATTACCTCGGTAGAAGCAGACATTAAAGCAATAATTTCATATTTTCTAAGAAAGTTAAAACATAATTATTTCTATGTCTTTTGCCCAGTAGGTTGTCAATTCACTATTATACGATCATAGGTATTATTCTCCCACCTAAAAATCCTTTGACCTCGGAAATAATAACACAATTACCTCCCTTGTTTTTCTATTCCTCCCATGGAATAGCTATCTTCAAACGTTTGAATTTTAAGTTGAAAATGAAAATGATATTTTTGCCAATTTCTTAACTGGCAATAGTGAATTATAGGATTAATAGGATTATTCTTTAACAAGGTAGGACTGTTTATAGATACCATCTATTTTAAGGCTTTATTTTAATAACTTTTAAAAATATAACTTAAAAATATGAAATTTCAACTTTAAATAGAGCTATTTCACAACTAAAATCACATTCTTCTCAATTATGTGTTATATACAAGACAATTTGTGTGCTAGAGTTTACAAGTTGTAAATACATATAACAGAAACTGTGCTTACGCTTTCGTCTTTGGAGGTTTCCTGAGAATTTCGAAGTTCTTCGCTAGTTGATATTTGAGATTCCTGACATTGTTATAGAAATATTCTGATCTATTTATCAATAACTGAAAAAAAAACACAAAACGAATCAACTCAACATTATGATGATTTACAACCACGGAAAATATGAAATATAAATTATAATTACTTGAAAAAGATATTTAAACATACATTATGCAAGAGCTATTGCAGGTCTTTCTTTAGGCCTGAAATGTTATGTGAATTATTAATAAAGACATTAACTTATCCAGACCCTAATCAACTCTCGATGTCAACGCTAGCCTGCAATATTTACTGGATTACGATCAGATTTGCTGCTCAACTTTCACTCATAATTTAATCATGAAATGGATAATCAAGACTGTTTTTTATCGTACCGACTTTAGTAATGATGATCGAGGCTAGGCCGAAAATTCAATCGCTAAAATCTTGGTTCAAAGTGGATCAATTTGACTGAAATTTTCAGCATATTGCCTTTACAGTATTTAGTTTTTACCTATTATAGTGAGAACTGCCAGCTCTTTAATTAATTTCCCATAATGTATCTTTAATACATGTGGCTATATGATCGAGAGTGAGACATTAAAGGGGAAGACCAACGATTTTCAACAAGGTTTCCATAAATCTTAAATATATATTCAGAAATAGTGCCCTTCGTAACTCAAGCATACAAGTTTTTGTAAGCGAGAAATTTAATTCTTATTAAAACCAGAAGTGATGTAGTTGGTTCAACACGCTCATTGGTCTCTATAGAAAGCATACCCAATTGGCGTATGTTTACCGATCTATTCACACATCGTCGTTACTCAATATGTACCTTAGTCTGAGTGGCATTTCAATATATGATGCGAGAGAGAGTGAGAAATGGGGTTTAACGTCCACTCGACACAAACTAAGTCATTTCGGGACCTACACAGAGTTCAATTTTATTTCCATAATTCGCTTGCGCGTAAGGGTCTTTAGCAGTGGGAGGAAACTGGAGGACCCAGAGAAAACCGACGAGGTTGGACAGGCGACCCTACTCCTTGTCACGTACAACCAGTTGTCAGTTGACTCAATGACAGACCGTATGATACAGCGCGCACATGCTAACCATTTGGCCATTCAACCCCCCAATATATCATGCAATGTTTAAACAACTTAAAACACAGACACCATCCTGCACATGTATTTCTACGAACTCGTCATGCAAAAATCAAATCCAATCTTTAAACTCGTATAAAATAATGTACGTTGAATACATTAACCCCACCCCCCATTTGTTATCAAACGATATTTAAGGGGTTTGGGGGACTGAATGGTTTAATGTGTGCGCTTTAGATCATAAGGTCTGTTTTTAAATTAAGTGACATGGTTTTGAGCCAACACTTGTACGTGATAGGGAGTTTGAGTTCAGTTAAACTCTATCTCCCTCTCTCCCTTTCCCTCTTTCGTTAGGTATCTGTCTTCCCCTCTTACTTCCACCTCTCTTGGGGGTGGAGTTGGATGGCCGAATGGTTAGCATGTGCGTGCTGTACCATAAGGTCTGTCATTGAGTCAACTGGCGTGGTTTCGATTCCTGGGTAATATGTGACAAGGAGTAGGGTCACCTGTCCAATCTCGTGGGTTTTCTCTGGGTCCTCCAGTTTCCTCCCACTGCTAAAGACCCCTATGCGCAAGCGAATTATTGAAATAAAATTGAACCATGTGTCAGTCCCTAAATGACCTAGTTTGGTCCAGTGGATGTTAAACCCTCTTTCTCTCTCTTTCTCTCTCTCTATCTCTTTCTCTCTCTCCCCCCTTCCACTTCTTTCCTCTCTACTTACCTTAGAATATTCTTTATCTAGTTGTGTAGCGTTGAGTATATACTGTGGAAATCCAATCATATCAACTACAGCATCAGCCTGTCAAAACAATCAATCACAATCATTCCGACACATAACCAAGCTTTTCATAAAATAAGGAAATGTAATGGGGTTTAACATGCTACTTTTCTGCTCCATCTGGGCTAATGAAAAACGGTATATGAAATCGTTCATATAACATGCGATGTGGTATGATGTAAATTTTGCTCAGATAGTGACGTTACGGCTAATCTTATTTCAAATTGCAATTGTCAAGATTTCCTTGATGTGCATAGCAACAGGTACACAGTATCTCTGTTTTTCATCTCAAGGGGAAATCATACTGGAAAATCTTAAGGAACTCTTTCAACCAACACTGGGATGGACCCTGGGCCTGTTTCACAAAATTTTAACTAAGGGTAAAATCCAAATTTTAGTAATTTGATTGGATAATATTAGATTGATTTTAGTGCTTAGCCAATCAAAATTGAAGTATCTACTAAAATTGGATTTTATCTTTAGTTAAGAATTCAAAAACATAATCTTATCGACCTTCACACAAAACACGAAAAAAAATTGTACCTTTTCAATAGCAGCCAATCTGGTTTCTCGATCCATCCACGTCAAATAAGGTAGATTACTCTTGAAAGCTTTTTTAACCATTTCTATCATTTTCTCTGCCTGTATACAAAAACAAACAAACAACTATGAACAAGGAACCAGCCATCTTGAAATTGTAACCTTGTTTGTATCAAAAATCGAAGTCCGTCAATCATTGCACAACTGTCCAAAGAACAAGCATACTAAGTGTCATGTGGATCGTACTCGATTTGGAGGAGAATTTAGACTCATTTTTCAAAAGTGTCACTCCAAAAAGGAGAACAATAAGCAAAGGCCAGCTTAAAGGGACCTGGGCCGTAGGCTAGACTAGAATCATGGGGCTGCTACCACTACAAAAAGATTATTTTATATGATTTTGATTGGCACACATATCCAATTAACACATGATTAAAAGGTCAGCAATACAAGAAGAAATTACATAATTACAGGTTAGCCATGTGTTGTAGTGTACGTGACTGGTGAGGTCCTATGAATAGCTGCTCATAATTAGAATTCGAGCCATCATGGGTTTCGACCAACCATAGAGAAGGCTGTGACAACAAGATTATGAAGTGTATGGCAACGGTTCCTGGTTTATATATAACAATTTTACCTTCAATTGAGTCGCCTATGTCCATTTAACACCATTAAGAATTAATGGTGTGTAGAGAGAGAGAGAGAGAGAGAGAGAGAGAGAGGGGGGAGGCAGAAAGAGAGGGGCAGAGGAAGAGATGTCAACAGTCATCCATTTCAGGGGGCATTAAATCAAGTTTTTTAAATTTGAAATTATCGCTGTTTATTAAATTGTACAAGCTTAAATTTGAATTTATCGCTGTTTATTAAATTGTACAAGCTGAGTATTAGGCCCAACTTGAGTCTTCGGGGCATAATATCAAGGAGTTAACCCCTTGTATCACCAACCCTCTGCATGCTACTCACAAATATCCAATACTTTTCCATCTGGGGCTACAATTTGTATAAATTATCAGTGTAGGTAGCCCTTACCTTTATTTTACTGTCTCCGTGGAAAGTTTCTCTTACAAACATGGCACCCAGAGCAAATCCTAGAACACTATTAGTATCTGTTATACACGATCTCCATAATTCATCATTACCACTAACACCTAGAAATATTAAATATACATCAATATATATATATATTGAGAGAGAAATTGGGTTTAACATCCACTGTCAAGGGGAAACCACGTCAGAAAATCCTGATGAACTTTCTCGGCCAATGCAGGGATCGAAAACCCGACCTCCAGGCTAGCGAGCCAGCGTCTTAACCACTTAAACACCGTGGCTCCCATAAATTTGAAGCCAATGAGATAACTTTAGCCTCTAGAAAGTTCACAAGCAATTGTGGACACTGGGCCGCTGGAAAAGGCCCACTACAATAATCGACCATGTGGCCGTATAAAATCTGAAAAAATGCTTTTACCTGTAATCGCCTCAGAAAACTGATCTTTTGCCTCTCGGAACTGTTTGGATAATAAAGGTGCAAAAGATTTAATTACATGCCATATAAGGTAGTTCTTCACAGTTCTGTAAAACATAATATGCATAAATATTTCAAAAGTTAGGTCCAAAAAAAGCAAAGTATAAGGTGTATACAACAGACAATAAATACCCCCCCCCCCACCTGACCCGACCCCACAACATAAAATGACAGCTATGTGAACTTCCCATGATATCAGTTGTCTCTATATGACATCAGTCAGTAGCTTACATCAGAGGAGAGAGAGAGAGAGAGAGAGAGAGAGAGAGAGGGTGATGTCCACTCACACAAACTAGGCCATTTCGGGACTAACATATGGTTTAATTTTATTTCAATAACTCACTAGCGCGTAGGAGTCTTTAGCAGTTGGAGGAAACCGGAGGACCCAGAGAAATCCCACGAGGCTGGGCAGGGTACCCTACTCCTTGTTACGTACAACCAGGGGAATCGAAATCACAGCAGTTGACTCAATGACAGGCCTTATGATACAACACACACGCGCTAACCATTCGGCCATCTAACCCCCCCATGTATAAGCAGAAGAAGAATACATACTTGATTCCATTATCATCTTGTAGAGCTGTTTTAAGTATCTGGGTGAGATTCTTTAAATAAGATGGAGAATAGACAACTATTGGTTCCTTGCTAGTTACGGATATATTCACAGTATTCATCAAACGATTAAAATAAGATAACCATTTTAACTGTAATATAAAATAAGATAACCATTTTAACTATAATATAAAATAAGATAACCATTTTAACTGTTATATAAATAGAGAATCTCCTACAAGTTTTTTTTTACTTTATCGACGAGTGTTGATATTTTTTGATATCAAAAACGACGAGTAGGAGATTTTATTTATCACCCAATCCTTTCTTACATGCACAAATAAATAAATATAATTCTTTGCTATAGATTTCACTTTTACTGAACATTACGGCGTAGTGATACATCATTTTTTGACAGCAATTCAACCACTGCAAGTCCTTTATATTGACTCAGTGTTTCCATCAAGATCAATTAAATAAAAATAGTTCATTTTTTAATAAAAAAGAAGTTACTTTTAATAAAAAAAAATGAACTGTTTTTTCAAAATAAAAAAAAGTAGTTCCTTTTCAACTGACCAATAAAATTCATGTAAAGCGATATCTCCTAGGTCATTTCGGGACTTACATATGGTTCAATCTTATTTCTTTCAATAATTCGCCTGCGTATAGGGGTCTTTAGCAGTGGGAGGAAATCGGAGAACCCAGAGAAAACCCATGAGGTTGGACATGCGTGCATGTGCTAACCATTCTGCGGTTCACCCCACACACTCCCCCACCCCCCCCCCCGATACAGAAATCAAAGCCTGTCAAAGTCTGTATTTTTTTAAAAATTGTATCAGAATACAGAATAGGAATTAGGAAACAGGTACGGCCTATATTAGACCCCTCCTATTCAAAGCCTGTATGAATAAAAAACGGTCACCATGACATTCTACATCTAATAAAACCAACAACTATATATACTGCTTACTTCAGCTAAAAGTTAATTAAAATGGCAGACGGTCATTTAGTTTTTAAACTGAATAATTAAACATTTTAATTAAACTTGGTATTTATACACACAGAAATCAGTCAAATAATCAATGAATAAATTGATTAAAATACAGATCCTATTTCATTTGTTTTTTTATAATTCAAAATTTCGATTTACTTGTCTTTAACACTAGGATCTGGAAGAGTTGTTATATAACCCACGTTAATGTGACGTTATCTGCAAGGTTTAATGGTGTTGAGAAGGTCTCTAAGGTATTGAGGTGAAGAATTGTCATTTATAGCAGAATACGTAATAGACAGTATTTTAAAATTGATACGTTGAGACAACATTGATCATCTGTCGCTTTTATTTTTGTTACATAAATTTATCGTCACACAATTCTTTTTAAAAATAAACCATGACAGCAGAGTAGATAATTCTCTTTGTGCAGACTGTCATTCTTTTTGTAGTTTTCATGTACCATTTCAAGTATAACTGCAGTCCCAAATGTTAAATATACATCGAGATAATTTTTAAGACTGATTAAAATACAGGGCCCTGATTCACAAAATCTAAACTAAAGATAAAATCCAAATTTTAGTAGACAATTCAGTTTTGATTGGCTAAGCACTAAAATCAATCTAATATTATCCAATTAAATAACTAAAATTTTGATTTTATCTCAGTTAAAATTTCGTGAATAAGGCCCCAGATCTATATTTCGTTTTTTTATACTTTCGATGGCCTACGACACTACATGAAGATCTGACCAGTTGAAGCGATAGGTCACCTTAGACGTAATACGAGCGGCTTTTGACAATATAACGTCAAACATTTGATTGACCAATAAGCATTGTTATTACTAGTGGATTACCCACAGTTCTGTGCAAAACACGCCTAAAGCTCAACGTAACAGACTGTTTATTTGACTAATCCCTCACACCATTCAGAACACGTCAACGATAACAACTCTTCCAGATCCTAGTGTAGTAAACACAAGTAAAAACGAAATTTTGACCTATAAAAACGAAACGAAATAGGATCTGTGTTTTAATCAGATTGAACTTTTAATTTATCCATTTAAAAAAATAAAGACAAAATATTACCATGGGAAATTCTTTCTGTATCTGGTCTATTGTCATTTTATGATATAGCTTCTGAATGCCTCGTCTTTCTGATGCTGGTACTGTAGCCTGTAAATAATAAATGTTTCTAGAAATAAAAAATTCTGGCAGCACAGTCGGTAAGCTGCTGGTGCGTTGTATCATAAGGTCTGTCATTGAGTCTGTCTTGATGATCCATTTTTACGGTAACGGCATCCACCAAAAAATGTATTTAAATCTACTAAATATTGCTGGAATCCAATGGCATCAAGAGTTGATTATGGTCTTGTCATGTTAGTAAATGTCTAATTAATAATTTAGATAACATTTCAGGCCTAAAGAAAGACCTGCAATAGGCAGATTTACCTCTTGAATAATGTTTAATGATAAATAATTAATAGTAATCTTACCTGAGCAAGTAAAGTTTCAAACTTGATAACTTCGATCATATTTTCTCTCGTTTCATTTCTCTGTTCTTCCTCGCTACCAGATAACAACATCTGAATATCCACCATGTACTTTAAATATGCTTTTAATACTTTATCTTCAGATATAGATTTATTTAAATAATAATCCCTCTCGGGTAATCCTAATCCTCCCTGATCCAGCTACAAAACAAACAAATATAATAATCAAGCAAAATTCTACACATTTTTTTAATCCATTCATCTGATTTGATATTTGTTGTTTATTTGTTGCAATGTCTGTGTAGTTTGTCTTATCGGTTTGTTTTGGTTGTAGTGTGTGGTTGCCCTGTATTTAGTCCTTGAACTTATTACCGAGAGAGCTGAGAGCAATGGTATGGGGTTTTCTAGAGAGAGAGAGAGAGAGGGAGGAATGGTATGGGGTGTTTTAAAGAGAGAGAGAGAGAGAGAGAGAGAGAAAGGAATGGTATGGTGTTTTTTAGAGAGAGAGAAAAAGAGAGACAGAGAGAGAGGGGAGAGAGGAATGGTATGATGTTTTTTTAGAGAAAGAGAGAGAGAGAGGGAGAGAGGAATGGGATTTAACATCCACTAGACACAACCCAGGTCATTTCGAAGACTAACACATGGTTCAATTTTATGTAATACTGTTAATTTATATTACTGAGTGATGTTTCGAATAATGAGAAAGAGTACCCGGAGAAAACCCACGAGGTTGGACAGGCAACCCTACTCACTGTCACGTACAACTGGGGAATTGAAACCACGTGTGTCCCGAAGAAACAACCAATTAAATTGCTTGGCTTATCCTAAACAGAAAATGTTAATCATTGAACTCTGTCATGTCATGATATAAGAAATAACTACACTAACAATCTACCTCAATTAATAGATGGGTGTTCCCCAAAAGTGTGACGGGCGAACTAAACGACAGAAATGGAAAGACAGTCTTATTTAAAGAAAATATTTGAACATTACTTACATGTAAGATATTTTTAGAAGAATTTTTATCATCTTCACCGACCCACACATTAAACAGAGCGTTGATATCTAACAGATGAATTTCCTCTACTAAATCCTGTATTTCCCAGCCAGAGTTACTTTTATTTTTGATTATCATGCTGAGGACACGTTTTAACGGTGTTGCACCTAGACTTTCTATTGTCTTATTAGCATCCATACAGGATTCGTAATATTTCTTAGCTTTTCTTTCTGCTTCACTATGCATACTTTCATCTGGTTTTTCTACAATCAGAGAAATGAAATGAAATGGAGTTTAACGTCCTACTGTTCTGCTCCTAACCTGGGCTAATGAAGACGCGCATACGCCATACAGTGTGCTATGAGGGAAATTTTGCCCGGACAGCGGCACTACGGCCTACTCTTATATCAAATTCCAACTGCCAAGGGATCTTTTACGTGCACGCCAATGTGTAAACGGGACCTCGGTTTTTCGTCCCATCCGAACGACCAGACAGCTTTCCTTGTCAGCCCCTCCGTCCTGCATCACTGACAAGGGAGAACCATGCCGGAAAATCTGGATGAACTTTCTCGGCCAATGCAGGGATCGAAACCCGCTCCTCCAGACTAGCGAGCTAGCGTCTTACCCACGTGATCCCCCTACAATCAGAGAGAAATATATTACAGGGAACGTGAGCTTGATTGTCAGATCGAATATTATTTGAAGTGAACGCAAGACTTAAAGCCTTTTCGTTGTGGTGGTGAGGGGTGCGGAGTTGGATGGGTGTGCGTGCTTGATTGTCAGATCGAATATTTTCGAAATGACGGAACTAAAATTGAGTGACACAGAATTGAAATGAAATAAAATGGGGTTTAACGTCCTACTGTTCTGCTCCGAACTGGTCTAATGAAGACGGGTCAATCCAAAACCATTCAAATGACAATTAGTAGCATCAGATTGGAACATTCGCAAGTTTAGCTTTTTACTGCCATGAGAATTTTTATATAAAAACTAGATTACATTCATAAAAACAAACTTACCAACTGCATTTTTCATGACTAATTGATTTTGTTGCCATAGATCTTCAAATGTTCCCCAATGGGAATGTCCAGACGGAATGGGATGCGATTTTATCCAACCACCACAAGCATATTGGAAAAAGTCTTCACATGGATCAACAGTTTTGTCCATGGAGGATAATAAATTACTAGCTACAGTTATACATTCTGCTGTTATACAATATTCTAGAAGAAAAAAATAAATAACATTTGAAATTAATAAATAACATTTGAAAACAATAAATAACATTTGAAAATAATAAATAACATTTGAAAGCAATAAATAACATTTGAAAATAATAAATAACATTTGAAAGCAATAAATAACATTTGAAAAGAATAAAATAACATTTGAAAATAAAAATAATAAAATAACATTTGAAAATAATAAAATAACATTTGAAAAGATTGAATGACATTTGAATTTGAAAATAAAAAAATAAAATTAAAGAGAATAAAATAACATTTAAAAATAATAAAATAACATTTCATTTGAAAATGATAATTTGAAAATAATAAATAATAAAATAACATTAAAATTTGGATTATTTGAATGTCCATTGAAATTTGGATTATTGAATGTCCATGAAAATTTGGATAATAGAGAGAGAGAGAGAGAGAGAGAGAGAGAGAGAGAGAGAGAGAGAGAGAGAGTTTAACGTCCACTCAACACAAACTAGGCCATTTCGGGAATAACATATGGTTTCATTTTATTTCAATAATTCGCTTGCGGGTAGAGGTCTTTAGCAGTGGGAGGAAACTGGAGGACCCAGGGGAAACCCACAAAGTTGGACAGGCGACCCTACTCCTTGTCATACCCTTAAAACAATAAATGTTTTTACTTCAGATATATCATTAATACTATTTGTAACATGGATGGAAAATCTTCCTTTGTTCTTTTCGTTGAATAAACAGATTGTTTTTCCTCTAGTACATTGGCTGGAGCTTAACCGTACAATAACTAGACATTTTCAATGTTATTGCACACTTTTGCTTGTTTACGCTAGTTTTAGTAGAAATCATATAGAGAAGTGGGTGGGTTTTCTGTGCAATAACAACAAGCATGCTTCATTCGTTAACAGGTTTAACCCCTCAGCCTTTAGCCGTGCTATAAATATATATATAGAGTGAGAAATGGTGTTTAACGTCCACTCGACACAAACTAGGTCATTTTGGGACTAACACATGGTTCAATTTTATTTCAATAATTCGCTTGCGGCTAAGTGGGTAAGACGATGGCTCTCTAGCCTGGAGGTCGGGTGTTCGAGATAAAGTTCATCCAGATTTTTTACGACGTCAGTGATGCAGGACGGAGGGCCGAAAAACCGAGGTCTTCGGCGTAAACGTAAAAGATCCCTTGACAGTTGGAATTCGATATAAGATTAGGCTGTACTGCTGCTGTTCGGGCAAAATTTCCCTCATAGCACACTAGCTGTATGGCGTATACCTGTCTTCATTAGCCAGGTTGGAGCAGAACAGTAGGACGTTAAACCCCATTTCATTTCTCAAGCAAGTACAAATGTGTTAATGTTTTCCTCTCGACCATTATACCACATTTCTTTGTATCAAACATCAAAGCTTTGTTCTTTAATGGTCTCAAGCCTGTATAAATATCCATTATATACCATACTTATATATTATCAAACATCGGGGGTGGGGGTTGGATGGCCAAATGGTTAGAGTGTGCGTACTGTATCATAATTTCTGTCATTGAGTCAACATCAAAGCTTAGTTCTTTCATGGTCACCAGCCAGTAGTATAAATATATTAATGTCTTCCTCTCGACTTGGATGGCCAAATGGTTAGTGCGTGTATGCTGTATCATAAGATCTGTCATTGGGTCAACTGGCGTGGTTTCGACTCGCCGGTTGTATGTGACAAGGAGTAGGGTCGCCTGTCCAACCTCGTGGATTTTCTCTGGGTCCTCCAGTTTCCTGCCACTGCTAAAGACCCCTATGGGCAAGCAAATTGTTGAAATAAAATTGAACCATATTTTAGTCCAGAAATGAACTAGTTTGTGTCTAGTGGATGTTAAAACCCATTTCTCTGCCTGTCTGTCTGTGTCTGTCTCTCTCTCCCTCTCTCTCTCTCTCAAACATCAGAGTTTAGCTTAGCTAGTTATAATTATATCATTGAAGTAAATTATATCAATCATTACTATCTCGGAGGAATTCAGATTACCTTTGAGATGTTATAATGAGAGATTATATCCATCAAAGTTAATATATATTTCTCCTATTGAGTCTGGAATAACGTGTAATCACATACATCTAAAACCATTAACTCTCCACATACCACCAGCTTACGATGTAGACTCAAAACGATTGATTTAATTTAATGCATTTGAATCTGGGCGATACAGACAATATACACAGCATTCATGATCAAGACGGTAGGTTTTTTGTTTTTAATGGGTCGATATCACGCTCTTAGTTGTTCACTGTGTAAGCTAAATAGAGGTTTAAATGATTGCAAGAGAGCGAGAGAGAGAGAAATAGGGTTTAACGTCCACTCAACACAAACTAGGTCATTTCGGGACTAACATATGATTCAATTTTAGTTCAATAATTCATTTGAATGTAGGGGTCTTTAGCAGTGGGAGGAAACCGGAGGACCCAGAGAAAACCCACGAGGTTGGACAGGCGACCCTACTCCTTATCACATACAACCAGGGATTCTTAATGTACCATTTCATAATATTTTTATAACTGTGGCCCCGGTCAGATTTAAATGTTAAGGCCACCTGTAGATTTTGTCAAGGTCACGAGATTTAAATAGAGTTAGGGCATGTGATTGTTGCAGAGAATTGTAAGATAGGGTTAGGGCTAGGGGTAGGGTTAACTAGTCTAACTTACCGTCCAAATAAGAACTTTTTTAACCATCCGAAGGACTATTAAATTTAATACTAATATTATAAATACCTGGTTGAACATTAACTTGTCTAATTTCTGTTTGTTTCACTGCCAATAAAGATGCTATAACAATTAAAGCTATTGATAATATAACCAACAACACTAGCAATATCCTCTCTAACGCCGTCTTTCTCTGCCAGACAGTCATTCCACCCTTAAACATTATTCCTGGCGCAAAGTCCATTGGTGGTGGGGTGCTGCCACCATTTGATAAAGTGTCCTCATCATCGAAGTTTGTTCTTTTATACCTTTGACCAGACATCTGAAAAATAGTTTTTAAATGTGGGTTAACTAGACATAAATAGCTTTAGGAAAATGATGTGTGCCTTTAGATTATAATGTCTATCATTGAGTCAAGTGGTGTGGTTTCAAATCCCTTGTGTTTATTTTCCAGTTTCCTCCCACAGCTAAAGACCTCTACAATAGGTTTGTCATGAAGTGAGAGAGAGAGAGAGAGAGAGAGAGAGAGAGAGAGAGAGAGAGTTTAATGTCCACTTGACACAGACTAGGTCAGTTCGGGACTAACATATTGTTTAATTTTATTTCAATAATTCGCTTGCGTGTAGGAGTCTTTAGCAGTGGGAGGAAACCACAGGAGCTGGACAAAACCCACAAGGTTGGACAGGCGACCTTACTCCTTGTCACTTCCAACCAGGGATTCTTAACCCCGCCCCTTGACTCAATGACAGGCTTTATGATACAGCGCACACTTGCTAACCATTCGGTCACCCACCCCCCTGTTTGTCATGAAAAGCACTGAATGGATTTGAACCATATTCAGCTTTTACAATATTGTAGTTGGTAAAATTGCAAGAGATTCCACAATCCCAAAATGGCGATAAGAATGATTAATTACACAATTCACAATAGCGCTGATACGATATATTGTTGAATCAATGTATCGGGATTCACCTTAAGATTTGTGTATTTAATAACCAGATGCTGGATCAATGTGGGGGTTGGATGGCCGAATGGTTAGCATGTGCGCGTTGTATCATAAGGTCTGTCATTGAGTCAACCCCCGGTTGTACGTGACAAGGAGTAGGGTTGTCTGTCCAACCTACTATGTGTCATTATTGCAATGCTATTTAAATATTCGATTCAATTTCAGATTCCTAGATATCTTCTTTTATCTGTTATTTGGTATCGAAAAACTCACAGCCAAAAAAAAAATCCGGTTAAATATCCTTGAAAAACAATTTGAATTCAATTGCCTAAAAAGGCAAGGAAATTAGAAAGAGAAAACATGAATACATGAATAAAAAAATTGATGACATCTTTGTATAAATACCACTGACAAATAAAACAACTTTGCAGAAACACAGCGCCTACACATTCCATCAAATCAATTTAGATTTTGACAAGATATGTTGATCTAACAGCTGAGGGGGGTTGAACAATCTTCACTCACGTCACATTCTTTATCTCACATGAATCTAATATTTTAAATCTAAAAGCAGCAACTCTTTTATCATCGAGAACAACCAATATCATCTTGATTTATCTAAATTAAATGCATGTATCATCCACACTAAGGTCAGGGTTGGGGTTAGTGGAGCATTCTATATTTTCTATAATAATAAATCAGTGGATGGACTTTCAGCGTGGAAATGTGCCCTTTCTATTTCTTGAGAAAAAAAATTTAAAAACTAAATTAAAAGTACCTTTATTTTTTTAAAATCCGCTCTACGTTGAAATGGGTCAGGGTTGGGGTTAGTGCATCATTCTATATTTTCCATAATAATAATAATAAATCATTGGATGGACCTTCAGCATGGAAATGTGCGATTTCTATTTCTTTGAGAAAAATAATAATTTGAAAACCAATTTAAAAGTACTTTCAGTTTTTTTAAAATCCGCTCTTGGTTGGGGTTAGTAGAGCATTCCATAATGATAGTTATAAATCAGTCAATCGATCTTCACCAAAAATTGTCTAATTTGTACTTGTGTCCAGTTTAAAGCTGACCATTCAATTTTGATAATGAGATGATTTTTGTGATTTTAAATTATTTTTATGAATTTTTAAACAAAGATTTAATAATAAACGAATGTGAAAGAAATTACTGCTAGATACACAAGATTAAATGAAACCCGGGTTACAGTGAGTGAAATCTCGATTTTCATTGATACCGTTGTTAGAATAATAAACAAAGTCTTGAATTTTAATTTTCTAAATTAAATTAGCTATATTAAATCGTTTTTCAATCCATTAAAAATCAGGACCAACCTATGGTCTTAAGAGCCAAATAAACTCCTATGTAAACTGCACCAGAATAATCCTCAGTTGCCATTTTTCAGCTCTGAATTTTCAGAATTTTCGTGGGGAGGCCTTACCCCTCCCTCCCCGCCCCCGGATCTCCCGCAGCCACACGCAGCCACAGAATCTGTGCTACGAGAATTTAACAAGTTAATATCTAACAAAGGTTAGATGTTTTATTATAACCTTTTAGCGTCTATGTGTGTCATTTGGTTTTTTCAGATCGGTGACATTAACAATGAAATCAGTAAATAAAATTAATTGGGGGAATTTATCACATCAACGCAAATAGTTTTTGTCTGCAAATAATATGTTTTAGTGCTAAGGGAATATCGACAATCTAGATGTCGCAGGAAGCCGATTTCTGAAAGTGACAGAAATGGTTAGAATATTGATCGAAAAGTTACTTAACAGAAAACTCCAGGGTTGAAAATTATTGTAACATAATTTGAATATAATCAGATACCGGTTGCGGAAATAAGCACCAGCCTTATTATGGCGTAATGATGGCCGCGTCAATCTTGATTCTTTTACATCCAGTTTTTTTTTCTCCTCACTGATCAGTCGAAAATCGACTTTGCTTTCTACAGATCTCCAATGAATCAATAATGTAATGGTAAAATTATTAGTTAGGGCATCAAGAAATCACGTTCAAGTAGGTTTCGGTCATTCATATTCTCTTCCACGAAAAGATTCTATTCACACTAATATGATTATTGTACATTAGGAGAAATACCAACGGGTTGGCATTGTTTATTCAAGATGACGGATATTAATCCGGCTATTAACGTGCATGACTGACTTGACCACCAATTTTGTCAATAATTTCATATCAATTTGACCTTATGGTCTTTGGGAACATCTATTTAAATTGTACGACATATTACCAGTTTTAAGAAGATGATTTAGATATTCTTCTCTTTTGTTTTTATAAGTAGTTTTCCACTGGCTCTAAAAATATTGTGGAGAGTGCGAGGGAGAGAGAGAGAGAGAGAGAGAGAGAGAGAGAGTGTCCACTCGACACAAACTAGGTCATTTCGGGAATAACATATAGTTCAATTTTCTTTCAATAATTCGCAAGCATACTGGTCTTTAGCAGTTGGAGGAAACTGGAGGACCCAGAGAAAACCCACAGAGGACCCTACTCCTTGTCACGTACAAGCAGGGAATTGAAACCACGACACTTGACTCAATGACAGACATGTGTGACCGCGAGGTCCGTCAGATATTACAAGAGTCTGGAATGGTTCTTCAAATCTTTAATACTGGAAACTTATAACAATTATCTACATACACTTACAGGACCGCGGATAACCGACTCGTACCTTATGCTACTAAGTCGGATAGACCAACGTATGACTGACGTATGAAGTACAATCACATATTTATATCGAATTACTTCTAATCACTTGGGTAGATCAAGTGTTGACATAAATGCATTTATGTAATAATGTACAATATAAGAAATAAAACAATGGTAAATAAAACAATTAATAGATTAATCATACGATTGGCATGTTCACCAGACAGGCCATATTGTCAGTAACTTTCTATCTTTAACAGTTTTATAAACAACAAGGGATTATAATAAATTAACATTTCACCCTTGGCTAGTCACCTTTTAATAGCACACATACAATTAATGTTTTAAAGGAATAGAATAGTTTTTGTCCCGAGAGTTTAAATAAATTCAATTTGAAGGTTTTCACTTTTAAAATTAAAGATACATTATGGGAGATTAGATAAAGTGCTGACAATTCTCGATTTAACAGTTAAAAACTAGATAATGTAAAGGTAATTTGTTGAAAATTTCAGTCAAATTGGTCCACTATGAACCGAGATATCAGCTTTGTAAATTTTCGCCTAGCCTCGTTCATCATTACTAAAGTTAGTACGTTAAAAAGCATAGTCTCGATTATCCATTGTTTTGATTTAATTATCAATGAGCGTTTGCAGCATATAGGATTCTAATCTAGTCGATATTGAAGGCTAGCCTTGACATCGAGAGTTGATTATGGTCTGTATAAGTTAATTAATGTCTAATTAATAATTTAGATAAGATTTCAGGCCTAAAGAAAGACATGCTATAGGCAGATTTAGCTCTTGCATATTGCATGTTTAATAATGCATTATCTTAAATATTCAAGATTTAAATTATAACATATAACTACTATAACCTGCACGGTTATACATGCATTAAACTATTCGGCCAACAAAGTTATTTATGAAGACCCAACAAAACTAAAAATTAAATTATAGGCATTATAGTCTAAACCTTGACTCTCATACCAATAAACCATTTGGTACTATTTCGTACCTATTTCATTTTAAACCCCTCGGGCGCCATGTTGAATCACACAGTATTTAACGTTCTAAAACCTAACTACTTCACGGAATCAACCACAAATCTAAACTTGGGCACTCCAACCATTTTTATTTTTGTATAAAAATTAAATCTGTTTGGCCTTAATCAAAAAGTAAGGCACAATCTCTTCCATTTGCTTGATTATAAATATAACCTTCTGATTATAAATATAAAATATGACTGTCTGATTACGAAGATGATTGGCATTTATTAAATGTAAACGGTAATCATAATGAATAATTTAAAGCCACTGAACGTCATTTGAGGGATTACGAATACTTTTTAAACTACAATATTGTGACAGTTAAATCTCTAGAGCAAAAATCGGCTTAAAAATAATTCAATTCTGCTTAGTATTTACACAGATGACGTATTGACATTTTCATTAAATCTGACGTCATCTGCAGATGATATAAATAATACAACAACATCTCATGATATTTTTGAATATCTACTGTTGATATTTTTTTTTTGAAGGGGGGGGGTTGCTTTCTTAAAACAGGCTAAATAAAATTAAACATGCATTATTCAAGCACTAAATCGGCCTATTGCAGGTCTTTCTGAAGGCCTGAAATGTTATATAAATTATAAATTTAGACAGTAATTAAAGATATAAGTGGACTCAAAACATATTCAAACT